CCATAATATAAGAACTAGGGGCCACCAAATGAAATTAATGGGCAGCAGGTTTAAAACAAATAAAAGGAAGTTCTTCACATAGCGCACAGTAACTCTGTGAAACTCCTTGCCTGAGGAGGTTGTGAAGGCTAGGACTATAACAGCATTTAAAAGAGAACTGGATAAATTCATGGAGGTTAAGTCCATTAATGGCTATTAGCCAGGATAGGTAAGGAATGGTGTCTCTAGCCTCTGTTTGTCAGAGGGTGGAGATGGATGGCAGGAGAGAGATCACTTGATCATTACCTGTTAGGTTCACTCCCTCTGGGGCACCTGGCATTGGCCACTGTCAGAAGACAGGATACTGGGCTGGATGGACCTTTGGTCTGACCCAGTATGGTCTTTATGTTCTTATGTTCTCACTCATATGCAAAGCACTGGAGGATTGGGATTCAAAGGAAAAAATACATTGCACTTGCGTAGTATTTTGATACAGCGCCTAGCACAATGGGGACCCAATCTGGTTGGAACCTCTAGGCACCTCTGTAATAAAATACATTTCAGATGCAGTTCCTGGTGGTATACAAAAGTGGATAAAGTATGATTTGCCCCATTTTACAGTCAAAGGAATTGGGGCAATAGAAGGGCCTATGATCTGGTTTTCACACAGCTGTTGGAAGCCTATAGATCCATAAGGGGCTTAGATCCCTCTCTCCCTAGTCCAGTCACCTAATTGCAAGGGTATCCTTCCCCACGCTGCCTTTTGTAATAATAGATTTGCTAAAGCAAATTTGAGTTCCAATCAGAAATGCATTCAGTGTCCGAGAAAGGACGGGGAATAGGGCAGGCCAGGCCAGGCCTGATTCACCACTACATTACTCCCTTTTTACTCACCAGCAGAACCCCAGGTTCACACTGGTGCAAAACTGAAGTACCTAATCGGTACATAGCATTCCCCCATCTTGTAACTATTACAGAACTATTTGGGAGTTGCTTTGCCCACTGCCTAAAGCAGTAGAATGATGAGTCCTGTTCAAGACATCTTTTGAAAGAGGGGCGATGACAAAAGCGGCAGCTCATGTACTGGAGGCGTTTAAACAAGAAGACAGGGCATGTAATTACCCTATAGCCCAGATTTTCTTAATGGAGAAGGCAAGTGCAGTACATGTAGTGTTGCACAGCTTCTCTAATTAGATAATCAATGCCTCCTTTAAGCAACCTTATTGTCAAAGGAAGTTGTCACACTGCTCTCCATCAACCAAGTTAAATTCACAGCATTTAATCTTGTGTTCTTTGCAACACTCTACACAGATGGGAAGAGACATTTAAAAGACAAACCAAAAAAAAGAACAGTCAAGAACTAATCCCCGGAAGTCACATTACAAGTCACTGATGGCGAAATATTTATAAATGCTCTCCATTCAATAGTGGGACAGTTCAGTCCTCTGCAGGGCTTGAATTAACAGCTCTGTTTTAATTGTGAGAGGGCTGGTAACAGGGTGGAGGGGTCTGGATCCCCTCTCCTGCCTCGGTTCACCTGGATTCAGAATCCCATCAGGATGTGCTACAAGGCTCAGTCCTCTCCCAAGTTTTCCTGGAATCATGGGGAGAACTGTACAAACAGGGTATGGTCGGTGGTATGACTGAAGGTTCTAGTGATTGTGCCGGTGGTTGGGAAGGATTCTCAGGACTTATTTGAATGTACCTAGGGTGTGATTTAGAGGCTTATCGTATGCGATGTGCTGAGAGAAGCAGATACAGCAGAATCTCAGAATTATGAACACCAGAGTTACAAATGGACAGATGAACCACACACCTCATTTGGAACTGGAAGTATGCAATCAGGCAGCAGCAGAAACAAAAAAAGCCAATACAGTACAGTACAGTGTTACACTACTAAAAAAATAAAGGGAAAGTTTAAAAAAAGATTTGACAAGGTAAGGAAACTATTTCTGTGCGTGTTTCATTTAAATTATGATGGTTAAAAGCAAAATTTTTCTTCTGCATAGTAATTAAGTCAATGTTCAATTGTAAACTTTTGAAAGAACAACCGTAACATTTTGTTCAGAGTCGCGAACATTTCAGAGTTACAAACAACCTCCATTCCCGAGGTGTTTGTAACTCTGAGGTTCTACTGTAGGCACAACAACAGCTAGACTGATCAATAACGGACTGGTGTCTGTCTCAAATACACACTGGGAAAAAGCTGAAGGTAAAATAACCCTCCATGTCAATACACCCTTGGTTTTATTCATAACAATTTACATTTATATAGCTGCACCTCTCATCCCTAAAGGTACTAAAATGCTTTACAAGTTTGCAGTACATACAGCACCACTGAACTGCAGCTCACAGATGCAAAAGTGTGAGGAGCAGCATTTTTGGGTAAAGATGGGCAGACCCCTTAAGGAAAGGTCTTGGGGACTTTAATATCTGTGCAGAGCAGATGCGTATTCTGTTACGCAGTCTAATCTGAAAGACCCACAGACAAACTTCATGGCTATTTACCTACAGTGCTTTTGAAGGGCTGGAGTAAGTCAAGATTTAAGTGTGTGGTCCAGAGCCAAGGGTCTGTATTCGGGGTCCTGAATGCCCTGCAACAACCTGGACCTTCATTCTGTGGCAGCTCCATTGAAGTTGAATATGGAGAACTTTAATGACGTATGAAAATGGCTAATACAATCAATACACAGTGCTCCAGATTATTTAGTTTGATACTAAATTCATGTCACTGTATACAGTCCCCACAGTTTTGGATATGCCACACATTTTTGTTCTGACAGCTCATAATTGAATCCTAATAGTTATTGGGGGAGGTTACAGGTTCTGGCAATTGGGAAGGCAGTTTGGGATTAGAGTAAAAGCCTTTTAACTGAATGTTCCTTCTAAAATGGTCAACAATAAAACAATTGATAATGCTGATGTTTCTACCGTGATCGTTAGGTGAACACCCTGTTGGGCTGAAAGGGGCAGTTCATGGCTCTCACAGATGTGTTTCAGATTGTCTACAGCAGTGGTCACCAACCCGTCGATCGCAATCGATGGGTTGATCCTGGACACTCTCCCAGTCGATTGCGATCTGCAGGCTCAGCGGCCCCATGCCACTCCCAGAAGCCGCTCCAGGAAGCAGCCAGCATGACCCGTGGGGAGGGGGGGGTGTCTCTGCGCACTGCTCTTGCCTGCAAGCACCACCCCTGCAGCTCCCATTGGCTGCAAAGGGAGCTGTGGCCAATGGGAGCTGCAAGGGAGGTGCCTGCAAAGAGGAGCAGCACGCAGAGCCACGTGCCGCCTCCCAAGGGCCACAGAGGCGCGTTGGCCCCTTCCAGGAGCAGTGTAGCCACGTGGTGCACTACTGGCTGGTGGGGGGTGGGTCCGGCTTGTGACAGGGAGAAGGTGACAATGTGCCTGAGTGGGGCCAGGTCAGGCAGGGAGTCTGCCTAAGCCCCACTGCGCCGACGACTGGGAGCCGCCGGAGGTAAGTGCTGCCTGGTGGGAGCCCACACCCCAACCCCCAGCCCTGAGCCCTCTCCCGGAGCCAACATCCCATACCCCCTCATTCACCCCAACACCCTGCCCCAGCCCTGACCCCCCTCTCCATACCCCCTCCTGCGCCCTAACACTCTGCCACAGTCCGGAGCCCCCTCCTGCAACCAAACTCTCTCCCAGAGCTTGCACCTCTCACCCCCTCCCAAACCCCAATCCCCTACCCGGTGAAAGTGAGTGAGGGTGGGGTAGAGCAAGCGACGGAGAGAGTGGGGGATGGAGTGAGCGGGGCGGGACTTCGGGGAAGGAGTGGGGTCTTAAAAAGGGGTGGCATGGATCTTGGGTTGTCCTTAAATTCAAAAAGTGATCTTGGGCGTAAAAAGGCTGGAGACCACTGGTCTACAGGCACGGGAAATCACCACCACATTGATTTACACTCTGTTCACATTTACATGGTGATTTTCAGAGTCATGAGGACTAGAAACAATTTTTAAGGTGAAAGCTTAACTTGGGTGGAAAGGTGGATTTTGTGGCTGTGGTATCAGAACACACAGCACAGCCAGAATGTTGCGTCTCAGGGCTTGTCTACACACAGTTTTGTCAATATTGGCTTAGAAATACATACAGCTAAACTAGCACAAAAAAGTACCCGCAGACAAACTGTAAGGCACAGCCTTGCACGAGAGGTGGTGCGGAGGCCCAACAGCCCAGTGGGAGCTCCAGGAGATGGCATGTCTGAAGCAGGCCAGTGCCTCCAGGGATCGAACAGGGAAAGCAGCAGCTGATGTGCTCTTCCAAAGGGCACAGCATGTGCTCCGAACCCCAGGAGGGCCAGCTCTGTGAAGGGAAGAGCCCTGCTCCCTTTGGAGAGGTTACTGCCACCCTAGGCAACAGCGCTGCTCAGCCCGGGGGCTCCCTGAGCAGAAGGGCTTTGATTGTATCCAGCCCCAGAGAAGGGATGCGTAGGATGGGGAGAACGGCGCTCCTTGCACCCACTTGCACTCCACTATTCATACCCAGATTGTGCCCAGCCCTGGGTATGTTTTCTATTCAGTAGCTAAACTATTGTATCCTGACTCAAGGAGGAACAACAGTCATCTTAAGAAGCTGCTTAAGGACAGTGTTCCCTGGGATCCTTATTTCTCTGCAAGCTGGATGTCAGCACCATTTACATCAAGGCTCAAGTGGAAGAGGAAGGAAAATGTACATAGTATGGCTTAGTTTCCATTTCTCCTCGGGTGGCAGAAAGGAAATTGCTTTCAGTGTCTAAAATGCAGCAAAGGAGAGGGATACAACTTGGAATCCTGACTGTACAGCACTAAAGCCTTCCATGCCAGCATTTTTACAGTGAATCGAGTGCCAGTGGAGGCCGTTTGATGCAGATACCTGCCCACTAAGAACTGGACTGAGAGCACCAAACTCCTGGCACATAGTTACTATACAGTGTTACTGTCACCCTGGGTTGGATTCAAACAGGATCACCGAGGAAGGTGAAGGGCAGTGGCTATACACAGCCTATCTTTTAAATCAGAACATACCTGTCCAAGTAGTTGACAATGTTGGGGTTTTTGTTTTCCCTCATTACAAGGATTTCATTAATTATAAGTTCTTTCTTGGGCTGTTGTTGCAAATTCATCTGTTTGATTGCAACCTAAAAGTAGGAGAGAAAAAAATACGTAAAGCATTAATATATTAAACATCCCTAGAAATCTACCAGTTGCTAGTCTCTGCTACTTAAGTCCGATTTTCAAATAAAGTTTAACACCACTTTATTATCTCAGGGTACTCAGCTGTTTTGAAACAGTGCAAGTACTTTCATCCCGTCCACTTCCAGAAGCGTTCAGCGTCGCAAGCAAAAAAATATGGAGAGGCGAGTATTTCCCTACTAGACGCCTGCGTCATAGCTGGACAGGCTTGCTCCTTGCAGTGCTCTTGGCAAAATAACAAACAGCTCCTTACTACAACATGGATTGATTTCTCTAAAAAGCTCATTCTTTAAGGAATCCGGTTCTCTTTATTTTGAATCAGCATCTTCTTTCAAATGCAAGTCAGGCTCCAAGAAATTTGTGGGACAAATTCATTTAGCTTAAGTGCAGTTTTCCAAGGTACTAATTTCACTCTGTTATAACTAGAGCTACAACGGTGAGCAGCAGTGTTCAGATCCAAAGTTTGGTGGTGTTTAGACCTGAGAGTCTGGTTCAGGCCCATCTCGAGCCAAAACTTTGGGGGTGGAGTGGACTCTTATTATAGTCTCTTGGTCTGTATTTTCTGCAGTGCATCACTGCACATACACAAATATGTGTGTGCGTGTGTGTGTGTGTGTGTGTGTGTGCGTGTGTGTGTAAACAGACAAAGTAGACAGAGATCTCATACAATGTGCTCTTCGCCATTATATCCAAATAGTCACAATACCAGTATATAAAGGCCAGTTCAGGCACTCTTACTCATAGTATAGTCATGTAACGGTTAAATCAATGGGACTGCTCAGCACGACTAAGCCGGCAGAATCAGTTTGATTGTGTTAACGTCGTGTTGGTTTTTTGTACAATATTTAGGCAAGGATCACGTGAAGGGAATGTAGTTACGCCTTTATGGCGAAGAGCTATTTGCAGAAAAGGCAGCATTTCTAATGGATGGGAGCCAGCAAGGAAAATGCCAGTATAGATAGGTACGATCAGTGCTTATATATTATGGTGATAGATGCTACAGGAAACCCTGACACAGGTGAGAATAGAGAGAACGTGCTGCTTGTCAACAGTGTTTACAAAGCTGTCAAACTGCAGTTTGACAGTAAAACATGCAGTGGTGACATTCGTTCCCTTAGGACAGGAGGAATGAAAAACAAAGGGCATCTGCTCCAGACCTCACAGAGCTGGAAGACAAGAAATCCCTAGATCAGGGGAATTTTAACCACCCATATATCTGTTAGATAACCAACAGCCTAACAATCAAAGAGATTCCTTTTACAAACAAGACAGTTTTATGACACATGGAATATAGAACACAGCCAGAGGAGAAGCCATCCTGGATCTAAAGAAGAACTGCTGAGAACCTAGGAGCACAGGAATTGCCAGACTGGATCAGAACAGCAGTCCAACTAACTAGCCCCACTATTTTGTCTGACAGTAACCAGTATCAGAAGCTTCAGAGCAAAGAAGGCCTCTAAGTACATAGTTATGGGATAGCCTGCCCCCGCACTCCCCTGGGAAAATTTCTTTCTAATCCATTAGTCAGAGTGTGGCTTATGCACCAAAGCATCCAATCCTTCCAAAATTCTGGTTTCATCTTTTGTTTTTAATTGGTACAATAGTAACTCTGGATGTTCGTTACCCATATAGATGTAGAGTCTTTTTATAATCCTACTACATTCTTGGCCTGTTATATATTGTGACAAGCAGTTGCACAGGTTACATGCATTGTATAATAAAAATATTTCCTTTTATTACTTTTAAATGTGCTGCCATTCAATGTCAATTAACTTCAGAATAATAGCAAAGATTGATTCCGGTGTCCAAAAATGACTTGAACTCAGCATAGCAAGGAATGGGTTAACAGAATACAATGGTTAAGGATTGCAGGAATGTAAAGTCTAGGGTCTGATCATGCTCTCACCATGTTGAGAACCAGGAGTTACTGGTAGTCATTTAAGTCCATGGGTTACACAGTTGTGTACAATGGGTTTGAGTATCGGTACGGAACTCAGTTAAGGGATCCTAAGAGGCAACATACAGGCACAATAAACTTTCAGACTACTTTTCCAAAGGAATTGTAAGAAACAAGCAGCAGCCAACATGGTTCCCCTTTTCAAAAATGTGAAGTCAGACTTTTATTAGTGCTTTGTCATCTCACCCCTTTTCAGTCCCTAATACAGTGTCAGCAAAAAGCAGATAGTTGTAAGACTACTGGTATTTAATTGTTGGCTTTGTATAATTGCAAAATGGACCCATATTTCAAGTACCAATAATACTACAAGCTTTCCTGTTTATCTCAATACTAGCTTCAGTGTTATTAGAATGAACATTATTCTATCATTGCAAAATTCTTATTTGTCTAATAGACATGTAATATATAGGACCTTATTTTCTGAGATGCTGTGACCCCATTGTCACTAGTTTATGGTACTGCCCATGATGTGCTGGGTGCTTTCTAGACATTCAAAATGGGACGGTACCTGCCTCAGTGATCTATCAGCCTTAGGGCAGACAAGCAAGTAGACAGAGATTGTATTGGGAAAGGGAAACAAAGATTTTCTGTGCAGGTCAATTAGTTTCACTGTAGGCAGTGGATGAAGAGTGGGTCTTTAAAGGGGACTTAAATGAGGATAGAGTAGATGGGCCCTTCTATGGAAGAGCTCAGGGAAAATGAACTATATAGGTAAATATACAGTATGTATGTTAATATCACATATAATTAGGGTGACCAGAC